GAGAGAGAGAGAGAGAGAGAGAGAGAGAGAGAGAGAGAGAGAGAGAGAGAGAGAGAGAGAGAGAGAGAGAGAGAGTCACTCACCTGCGCCCGTTGGCTGAGCAACGGGCTGTAGACCACGGCCTGCACCTGGCGTCGTAGGCGCCCAGGTACGGGCGTGGGGGCAGTGGGAAAGAAGACCCTGTTGAGCTCGACTCTAGTTCGACTCTGTGAAACGACTGAGGGGCGGCCGTTCATTTTGAGTGATGGGCTGCCACCCTCACAGAGAAAAACGAAGAGGAGGGGGGTTAAAAAGAAAGAAAAGAAGGGAAGAGGAAAGAAAAAGTTGGGAAAAAAAAACGGTCGCGGATCTAGCCGCGGCCTCGGTCCAGATGCAAGTTTAGAAGCATCTGACTGTGAATTGACAGCAGACTGTTGGGTTCAACAGTCTGCTCAGAAATGTCTGAGTACAACCATTTATGGGCTCCGTCTGGCCACAGGTGAGGGCCAGATACATTTCCAGTGGCCTGAACTCAGTCCCCCTAGGGGAACAACAAACTTTTTTGGCCCTTGATCGCGTTTTAGATCAAGGGCCGAGCCTCATTCCGAGTTCTGGCTGTGGGCAAAGCAGCTGCCCACATGCTCTCGCCTGGCTATTAAAGCCAGCATTCCATCGAGCAGCCTCACAAGTAGTGGCAGTGCTGCTGAGGCATTCACTTGAGTGAATGCTGGCTGGCTGCTGTTGTGGGGCGGTGCTGCTGGTGGAGGTCTACAGTGAGTGAGGAGAGAGTTGAGTGGGAGACTGCTGAGGGGGAGGGCCATAGCTGTGAAGCACAGCCATAGCCACCATCTCAGTGGTGGAGGGGAAATGTTGCACGGTCTGTGCGGCGACAGGATTTTCTGAAGTATAGGGGAAGTACTGTCTGCACAGTGTGGCGGCGACAAATTTTTGGCAAGTGGCGCAAGGGGAAATTCTGTCCGTTTTGCACGGCGGCGGCAGGGTTTTGGCAAGCGACGTAGGGAAAACTCTGCCCGTTTTGCACGGTGGCGGCAGGTTTACGGTAAATGGTACAGGGAAGGTGCTGCCCGTTTGGTGTGGCAGCGGCAGTAGGTTTTTTGAGGGCAGTGCGGAAGCGCTGCCCATTTTTTGCGACGGCAGCGGTGCATTTTGGTAGTGGCGCGAAAGCGCTGCACGTTTTTACAGCAACAACTACTTTTGAAGAAGTACAGGGGAGGTACTGGCCGTTCGGTGCGGCGTCAGACAACTATTTTTGATGAGGTGATACGGAGACGCTGCCGCGCCGACACTGAGATTTTGGTAGTGACGCAGTGGTGCTGCCGAACTCTTGCGGTGGCGGCAATGCATTCTAAGTGGTGACGCGGATGCGCTGCCCATTTTGACTTGACTGTAAGGGACATTTTGTAACGGCGTGGTGGTGCGGTTGGTGTGACGGCGACGCTGAGATGCCGTCAGATTGTTGGGAGGCGATTGTGTGAAAGGAGGGTATTGTGATGA